TTGTTTATTAGCTCTCTTTTTTTATGTATAATGCATATGGGTTCATGAAATCTGAATATAATTGTACAGTCCACAATAATCGATATTGTGTAAAATATATTGGCGTATAGTCCATAATGATGTGTGCAATGGATGTGTGGTGTTCAATGATTATTTAGAATATAATAGATCTGTTGTTTTCGTCTAATACGATGGACCCACACACATCATCACGTGCAGCGAATGAGAATTTATGAGGCAAGAGAAACCTCCAATGGACACAGTTAAAAGAGAACTACTTCATTGAACTTATGGAGGCCGAGACTAGGGGCTACAAGCTACAGGTAACATACAAATGTTGTGTGCCATTATAATTTCTTAGAGAGAACACACAAATGTTATGTGCATCACAAATGTTTTAAGGATAAACAACAATGTAGTTTTATTGTTGAATAACCTATATTTCTTAGGTTGGGATATAGATCCATCAGTGGTGGATGTAAGTAGTGCTCAAGTTATTACATGTTATTATTAAATGAGTTGATTTCTTACTGCTTGCATTATGCATGTGCGTTTGTATGTTATGTTGAACATATTATATCACAATCCAATAGAATATAGGTAACCAAATTCACAATTGCCATGGCCGCCATACATATGCCTATGCATGTGTGTGTGCACGTGTGTGAGGAATAATGAGAGAGCGAAAGAGAGTTTGTAATCGATTCAAGAAGAAAGTCATTGACAACCTAGTTATAAAATTTAAATACATATTCCATTTCGTATTTGTAAATATACTGTAAAAAGACTCAACAAATTGTATACCCACAATGCTTAAGAAAATATATTCATTTCTATTTTAAGACTGTCAATTAAGAAACTAGTGATTTGGTACACAATATGAAATTGAGGTTGTGCGTAACATTGTTTACATACTGCTTTATTTTTGAGGTGCAATGAAGTATATCATGCAACATTTGCTTCAAATGAGGTACAAATATGTCTCTTTTTAGGACATTTCTCTCACTCATCAATAAAACTCTCTCTCAATCCAATGTATTTTACTTTCAATTGTATCTCAAAAAATAATATTCTACAACTTAATAAAAAATAGATAATATCTACGTCTCATTTTTAACATTTTACATCTTGCCTATTACTTAAAGCTAATCCAATACAGATACTCATAACTTCTTTAACTTCCCAAGAGGTTATCAAACACAGAAACCAGAAACTTCTTAATTTCCAAGGAGGTTATCAAACTCATAAACCAAGAAATTCTTAACTTCTCAAGGAGTTTATCAAACACAGAAACTAGGAGCTTCTTAAGTAACTTTTAATTTACAGTTCATGAGGAACTTCCAATGTACAGTTCATGAACTTACTTCCAGTTATCAACATGCCCCTAATTTATAGTTCATGAGGAACTTCCAATTTACAATTCATGAACATGCTTCCAGTTATCAAATAGGCCTTTAGAGTCTCATATGTGTTCATGAGGAACTTCTAATATACAGTTCATGAACTTGCTTTCAGTTATCAACAGGACCCTAATTTATAGTTCATGAAGAACTCCTAATTTACAATTCATGAACATGCTTCCAGTTATCAAATAGGCCTTTAGAGTCTAATATGTGCGAAAAAGATAAGCTATATATTTCGACTTGGGGGCTCATTCCGGGTAACTATTTGTGCCTATGTGCCAAAAAGATAAGCTATATATTTTAACTTAGGGCCTCATTCCGAGGATATTAAAGCAAGGTCCGTATTTATTGCATTTTTAGATTTGAAAATCTATTTTAAGATTTATCGAATTTAAGTTCTTGAATTTAGATTTTGTTTTTGTTGGAAACCAAGTGGACAAGCTTTGAATTTCTTTGAAATAAAGACTAATTACAAGAATTTTTTTTTTTGGGTAGATAAGTGGAGAATATAGGCCCCTACCCATTTTTAGAAATAATTAACGGATTTCAAATGCATCAGTGGTGCTACCACCACGACCTCAACCCCATTCCCTAGTCACAAGAAGTTGGTTTTGATAATTGAGAGCATGATTTAAAGGCAAATGATCTCTCTATTTTTATTATTTTTTTATTTTTATCTATTATTTCAAGAAAAGTGTCCTAGCTTAATTGGTTAGTGGTCGACAATTTAAAGGCAAATGATCTCTCTATTTTTATTATTATTTTTTTTTTGTCTATTATTTCAAGAAAAGTGTCCTAGCTTAATTGGTTAGTGGTTGACAATTTGCAATGGTACTTCCTAAACTCAATTCTTAACAAGTGTGGGGCCCCTCTCCCAAAAAAAAAAAATCTCTGATTTTTTTGAGTTTTTTCTATCAATGCACGAAAAGACGGACTAGGCCTTACTGATAGAGCTGACCCAATGAGCTGGCTCAACCTAGCAAACGGCATTAGTGATTAATACATGGTTGAGTCTGGTCCATCATTTCGAATGCTCATAGCAACAACTGCTCTTTTAGCAAAGGCATTAGTGATGAATACAATTAGTGGTATCGATACCTATATTGTCATCCAATGAACATAAAGAAAAAGAAGTCCTACAATTGCCTTCTCAAAATGGATAATTAGGACTCTAAAAAGAGACACCATATACATCTACAAGGTTAACCGTCGACTCTGCGCAATACTCCCTCGTGTGATTAAGTATAGAAGTTTTTTCACATCAATTGGTCCCAACAAAGCAATTTTGTTTTTTCACATCAATTGGTCCCAACAAAGCAATTGGCAATCAATTGATGCGAAAAAATTTCCACAATAAATTGAACAAGGGAGATTTTCGCATGAAAATATTTCTGAAATATTTTCACTCATACCCAACATAAACACATCTTCTTATCATTTCACAGGTACTTGTATATAATGTTTTCTTTGCCATTTCCTTTCTCTTAGTCTACCAAAATACTGCAATTTCTCAACATTTATAAAAACGAAAAGGAAAAAAAAAATTTGTATGGATGAAGATTTGGATAGTTAGGATACAGTATTAGAAAAAAAATTACATTATTCAATCTTACCAGCCGCACAAATCGGAGCCATTCATTGAGATGGACTTTAAATTGACAAATGCCTTTATTTATAAAAGGGTGTGGTTTCCATAAGGTCGCAACCTTAAACAATCCAATTAAGGCGCACCTCTAAATTTTATCATAAATGATATTTTGATATAAAAGATTTTTAGGATGGATTGAAACTCTATTTTCATTTCTAATTATAAAATTTTAAACTCTAAAAATGGTTCAAATCAAGTAGATCCAGAAACACATGAAAATCTTGAAAACGGACGGTCTAGATAATGTGTTGCAAGATGCACTATTTCGCGGACTCAAAATCTTTTTTTCTTTTCATATTCATACATCTCTATGTCAAGATGATCAATTAAAGGGTTTTCCAACATCTGAACAACCTTTTATGATGGATTTTTTAGGCACATCTTTAACTCTACATTTTAAGGTTGCAACCTTATTTAAAACTTTTTCCTTTATAAAAACCTTCGCAAGTTGAATTTCCAATGCCTTTTAAATGGATTCAGCCTAATTTAAAAAAAAAGTCATTTTTTTGTTGTGTAAATAAAAGTAAATAAAGAGATTGTATATTATGAGACCATAGGGTGTGGTTTGTATAAGGCTGAGGCTCTAAACAATCAAAAGAAGGTGCACCTTCAAATAGTGCCAAAATATGTTGTTTTAGTATCATAAGTATTTATGATGACCAGAAGATTTATTTTCATATCTAATTATAAAATTTGAACATTAAAAAGAGGTGTAGATTGAGTGGATCTATGAACACGTGAAACACTTGAAAATTGACGGTCTAGATAATACATTTCCGATACTTGAAACATGCACTATTTCCAATACTTGAAATCTATTTTTTTAATGTATATAAATCTTGAGGTTGAGATGATCCAATTGAAGGCTTTTCAGCATCCAAACAACCTCTTCCTGTAAATTTTTAAGGCCACCCTTATCTAAACTTTTTCCTTTATCTTTAGGATATGTATACTATGCTCCCGTGGGAGCGTATTGTGCATCTACTCCCTCACTCAAAACACCTACTTAGGATGATATTCTTAGTCTAAAATTTTGGGAACCATATAAGAATTACTAGATAATTATTTTTAAAAGAAAGTTTTGATTTTTGAGTTTTGTGGCACTTAGATCTAGCCCTTCAAAAATTGGAAGGTATTCAATCTTGAAGTATAAGTTTTTTTACAGCGTAGTTTATTTCGGATTTTTTCCTAGGATTATTTTATGGGTTGTAGATATCATATTCCCAAAATTTGAGATCCCAAAAGTATCTTTAGTATATGTTTTACTCGAGAGAGTAAATGGATAGTATGCTCCCATGGGAGTAGGAAATATTTTGGCTTATCTTTATTACAAGCCATTAGATTTAAAATTGGATGGCTTGAGTTGTTTCGATGTTTGATAATAGTTTTTTGGAACTTTGAATCTAATTAATAGAATTCTTACATCCACCCAATTTGAAATTGAATAAGAGTGATTGTGACCTCCTTATATATAAAAGAAAATGATCTTAGTTGTATACATTTCTATTAAATAAAAAAAAAGTCCTTGTGCAAGAGCCTAGTAAACTCACCAACATCGATGCACGTTGTAAAAAACTCACAAAGGTTATGTAGAAATTTATTAAAAAAGTCACATTTTAAATATAAAATTTTTTATTTTATTTCATCTAGATGATTATTTTAACCAATGCCTAAAATTTAAGATTAAAAATTTATTTCTAAGATGGTTTAAGAGGGGCCCGCATATGTATAGTATGAGTCGGATGACTCATAGAACCCCATACTTGAATAAAAATTAGATGGACATGGAAATAGGTTGTGTTCATTTCCATCTTTTTCCTAGCGGATGTGGGTAAAACTTTGGGGGTATTCTTTGACTTTTTCCAAAGATGAATTTGACGAAGTTTTTAAAAATTAGGCGCACAAATTCGCCACATGCTTGTGAGATTTCTTCGCCGCTTTCCCACGTGCAAATGACAGCCGAAATGCATGGAGAAAATTGTAGGCTCAGAGAAACTCCAATCCACGATGACCTTGACCCCTCTCTCACTCTTGGGCACGGCACAACTGGAACAACCCGAATCGGTTGATTGTTTTCCCTCTCCTTGAGCCCAAAGGTTCGTTGATTTCTGAGCGCGCTCTCTCCCACACATCGTCCTCTCTTTCTTTCAAATAACCCAAATTAATTCTTTGAATTTCAAGCATCGACTCGCAGGCGTGTTTCTCGCTCTAGAAAAGGTAAGGCTCCGATCGAAGCTCCCTTTTCAAATCGTTCGGAATTCAAATATTTCATACAGGCTTTGGAATGTATTGATTGATGCCGTATAAAATACTCTTTTCGTGCCCATGTCATCTTTTTCTTGTGAACTCTGGAATCTGATTCATCCTAAGAGCTTAGGTTTCCATCCATGGAAACCCATTCCAGAGTTTTATTTCTTCTATTGGGTGACAAAGATAGAAAGAGAAAGAGAGAAATAACGAATTGGAGCGCCCAACAGGGATACTGTTTTTTTCTTAGTGATTTGGGAGTGTGAGTTCTTCATGTAGTGATCGATGAATTCTGATCCTTCTGATATCTAGGATTTTATGCAAAAGAAAACAGAAATAAGTAAACCAAAATCTAGATACCCCATAACCACATTTTTGTTTTAGTTATGGGTTCATGGAATTTCGTCCTTATTGATTTTTGGGAATCTCGTGGTTTTTTATATCTCATATTTTATACAGAGGAGCACCAAATTTGACACAAATTCCTCTTGACTCTCCCATTTAAGCAATTATGTTTCTTAGTTTTCCTATAGAATTCAAAGGAAACTTAATCTTAGAATCCCAGATTTTATGTTAAAAAAAAAAAAAAATCCAAAATCTCCTTGCAAATTTTTTTTTTTACTGAGATGAATTTGGAGTATCAGCCTATTTAGAAACTGCATTGAAAAATTCGTCATTGTAGATTTGGTTATGAAGTTTCTTGATTAATCACTAAGCCAATCGGATCCTTAAATCTCAGGTTTATCCAAATCAAAGAAACCTAAGTTCTATAACCCGGTCATAAGTACCATATGGAGCTATTGCCTGTCGAAGTGATTGGGAACATTCTCTCTCGTTTGGGTGCTGCTCGGGATGTTGTAATTGCATCTTCAACCTGTCAAAAATGGAGAGAAGCAGGTCGAAACCACCTTCACACCCTCTCTTTCAACTCAGGTGATTGGCCAGTTTATCGAGAACTAACAACCAGTCGATTAGAGATTATAATCACGGAGACCATATTTCAAACAAGTGGTTTGCAAAACCTCTCAATTTGTATGGGTGATGTCGATGAATTCTCAGCTGCCCCTGTTATAGCGTGGCTCATGTACACTAGGGGAACCCTTCGTTACCTTCTATACATAGTTCGAACCACCCCAAATGTTAACATTTTAGAGAAATGTGGCAGGCAAAAACTGGAAGTTTTGGTCCTTGGTTACACCTCAATATCGGGGGTGGAGCCTAGCTATCAGAGATTCCCTTGTTTGAAATCTCTAGCCCTTCATAGTGTGAGCATTTCAGCATTGGACCTCAGTCTCTTGCTCACTGCCTGCCCTAGACTTGAGGCATTTTCACTTGTTAATCCTGATATTGCCATGTCTGATGCACAAGCCACCATGGAATTGAGCAACTCCACTTTGAAGAAAATCTATGTAGAGTGTATAAGTTTGGATAAGTTCATATTAGAGGCTGATAGTCTCGATTGTCTACATTTGAAGGATTCTACTCTAGAGATTTTCGAGCTCATAAGTAAGGGGTCTTTGAAGCACCTCAAGATTGACGATGTTAGTGTTATACATTTGGATATTGGGGAAAGCACCGAGCTTCTTGAGGTGGTGGATGTTAGTGATTTTACTATTATGTGGCCTAAGTTCTATCAGATGATATCAAGGTCCTCAAAACTGAGGAGGCTTCGGCTTTGGGGGGTGGTGTTTGATGCTGAGGAAGAGGTCATGGACTTGGAGACTATAGCGATCTGCTTTCCTCAACTGACTCATCTCTCTCTAAGTTATGACTTGAGAGATGGGTTGATCCATTACGGGCTTCAAGGGAGCTCCCGACTAGAGAATGTGATGGTTTTAGAATTGGGTTCTACAGTTATCAATGAATTGTTTGCTCAGTGGATTGGTGGACTTCTAGAGAGATGCCCCCATCTTAAGAAGCTTATCATCCATGGTTTCATCTCAGAGACCAAAAGCCGGGAAGAATGCCAGATGGTGGCTAGTTTCACTGCTTCTATTGTTCGTCTTATGAGACGATTTATGCATGTTGATGTGCAGTTTGCTTATCAATAATGTTCATATCATTTTTGCTTTCTCTTTTTTCTTGTATTGGTTTCATAATAAGGACTTGGCTCACTTGCTCAAGCATGCCAACTTTAAAAAGTTGTGATGGGTATGTGGTGCGTACCAATAATGTTTCTCTTCATGAATGGCTCGTTTGGAATTCGTTTCAAATTTTGGGGTGGCAAGATATGTGTGATCAAGTGATTTATGTTGCATATGAAGGACGATGTCGATGTTTTGGAGTTCTTCGATTTACACTCCAATTGTCTTTCATTTTCCTCAGTTCGTGCTTGAGTTGTTGTAAAGGTACAGTTTTCATTTTGATTTATGCAAGTAACATGAGATGTATTTACTCTCTTATGTTTCCATGAATCTGTAACCAAAAATTTCTTTATTTATTTTATTTATAAGGATAAGCTATTCTTATCTGTCATATCACGTAACAGAAGTTGGATATGGTATTCAGTTATTTTCTTCTTTTATATTTTTGTCTTGGGAAGTTAATAATACTACTTTAAACAACATTCTTTTGTAATGATTTTCTTTTTATAAGCATTTCTTTGAATTTTCTTTCGTGTTTCTTTATCTTTACTCAATTTCCTGGCATGGAATTGTAAGATAACACTGGTTGGTTTGTGCTAGGATTTTTATAATGCTCTACTGCTGTTTCTGATTTATAATTTATAGACATCACATATGCTTTTATCCTGGATATTTGGAGTGCTTATTAAACTCATATGATTGTTTGAGTGGTTTTCGATTATGAGATCAGCAGGTGTTGGACATAAAAATAGAAATATATGTTTGTGTTCTTGAAGGAGTATCAATCATCATATAGGCTACTTTATTCAAACCGTGGGGATGCAAATAGGAATTCTTTTCATGATTGGGTCCTGGGTAATTCTGAAAGCTTTCTACTTCCTACTGCCAACTGTTAAAATGCAATCTTATTCGAGAAGGAAAATCCAGAAAGTTAGATAATAAGATATAAAGAATAACCTGTTCTGAGTGGCCCAAATCAAACTCAATCCTGTACGTTTTAGACTTCCAATGCTGCTGCCTCCCCATATTTGCTGCACTTAAATGATGCCACCCATGGCGTTATCAGTTCTTCAATCTACTTGGGCATTTTTTGGTCTTTTATTTGTGGTCTCATCCAGACACCTTCTGGTATTTTTTTTGTGCAACTGTGAAACTCATATATTTGAAGCTTTTATTTTTCTCTCTGCAGTTGTTGAAACTCATGTAAATGCTTAGATAAGGCTGTTTTCTTCCAATCAGTGTTCATTTATGAAAAGGACATCACATCTGATGTATGTACTCACCTGACAGTAGGGGTGGATGGCACATGGGACTTATGGCATGTTTGACGCCTAGATTTTTTGGGAGTGGGATGCCCTCTCCCAAAAATTATGGAAGACAGCCCTTCCATCATTTTTTTGGGAAGTGGTGGCTTCCAAATATATTACCATTTTGACACTAAAAAGAGACCCCGTGGAAGGCCACACTTCCACACTATGTCTTCTACTGTGTGAAATCAAACATGGAAGTGGGATGTTCAGCTCCCACTTCCAAAAACTCCATGAAATCAAATACGCCCTTGATGATCTTCGCGATATGTACAGGGATAATCCTGTTTCTATTGAGACGTTCAAAACTAGGGGTTCTCCTATTGGTCTCTCAATTTTGTGCCTATCATTCATGTTTCGGGAAACAGTAGGGGGCACCATTTCTGGAGTTCCTTTGATCTCTCTCGCTCTTCTCACTCATTCTAAAATGTACAGGGATGATCCTATTTCTATTGAAGACCTTCAAAACTGGGGGTTCTCCTATTGGTCTCTCAATTTTGTGCGTATTATTCATCTTATCTTTATTGTATTTCATTTTCTTTGGGAAACAGTAGGGGCCACCATTTCTGGAGTTCCTCTGATCTCTCTCTCTCTCTCTCTCTCTCTCTCTCCTCTCTCTCTGCATGGTGTGTGTGACACAAAACATAATAAGCTACACAAATCCATATGTATCTCTGCACCCATGCATGGATGTCTATACCTTCTTCAGTATAGGGCTTAGGTCTCGTCCCTTTGTTTTGGAATCCTTTGAAACTCATTTTTTAGCAAATTGGGTTCAGGGAAATCCAAAAATTACAATGGAACAGGGGGCATACTCCTTGTGTTCAAGAAGAACTGCATATCTTATAAATTAGCTTAAGAAGTCATATATAATATATAACATATGGATGTGATATATTATTTTCTGATCATTAGCATTGGCGGAGTTACATTGTTACTATCAAGTCCGTAATCAAGTGCTTGGATGTGGCCCTTTGGACCTGCTATACTTATTCCTTTCCTTCTTCTCTTTCTTTAGTGGAAGTAGGTGGTTGATTGGGGGTTGTTGTAGGGGATGGTATTGACGGGTATCTTAACTTTTTGACTAGCTTCATTTGATATTTTTTCTATTTGTGTGTTGAAAGCAATCTTCATGATGACCAATCAATAATGCAAAGTATTGGTTTTTTTTTAGCATCCCTTGACACGTTTTTCTTTTCAATTAGCTATTAGAAATTGGTAGATTGTAATTACTACTATCTACGTTTGTTTCTCCTGCTTGTTTTTCCTCCCTTGTGATTTGGTATATATGTAAGAAAAGTTTGCCCTGAACCAACCACCAACCCGCCCCCCCCCCCCCACCGTCTTTTTCTTCTTTATTTTTTCTCCTCTCTCCTTTATCTGGAACCATGTTGTTTTTGTTTCGAGGGTGAAAATATGAAGGATTTCTTTGTTTTTGGTTTTGTTGCATATGGTGTCAATGCACATGTCTACAAATAACATATGCATACATGTAGATGCACATGCTACATGTCAACAGTATGTATAAGTAACATATAAAAACACTTATATCCATAAATGCTATATATTATGTTATATGTTGATAGACCATTTTACAGAAAAAGTAATACATCTTTTTACATCATTGTTTGCTAGGTAATGCTGTCAGCTGTCTATGTATAGTAACAATGTAACTAAGGACGTGGTTGAGGGATACAGCAAAAGGAGTCTCTAACAATATCTGGTCCATTTTATGTACTAGATTACATGCTTCTCTGTATAGGATATGTTATGTCGGTACTCACAATTGCATGCAATGGAATGAGTATATATGTATATCAATGATCAAGAACTTGAACTTGGTGGTGGACACGGTCATTTGCCAAAACTAGGTCCATTTGTGGAGTCAAAAAATTAAGTTGGAAACACTTGACCAGTTTTTGAAATAATTGTGTTAAACTAGGCCTCTGCAAGCACCTTGGAGTCTGTTCTTCACCCGATGACCACCGACAGCTTCCCCTCTAGTTGGTGGGAAGTTGACCCTGGCCTACAAGTTGATTTTAGAATACTCCTAATGAGGTCTCCAAGAGGACTAGTTCATCTAGTTCGAGCTGAAACAGACACTTTTACTACTAAAGGCTATTGGGAACTCACTCGTTCTAAGTATGTGGAGGGAGATTGATTCAAGTTTATATGGAAATAACCTATTCATTGGAGAGGGGCTTGGTATCATGGGCTAGTTTTACAAATCCAATTGCCAACCATAGACGGATACCAGAGACATAGCCTACCACTCGCACATAGATGTGCCTTCTCCCTCTGTAAGAATGCTAAAAAAGCTCATGACTACTTTAACGTACTTTTACAAAGTGTCTATGGGCTTCTGTGATTGGTCTTTTCCATCTTTGTAGAGTGCTTAGTAATAACGTTATAGAGATGCTCCTTATGTGGATTGAAGGAAAACCATACAGTAAGGGACATGTTCGGAATTCTTTTGTGCATTACAAGTACATTCATAGTTGGGGAGATCTGGAGGAAGCGTGCCCTATACATTTTGAAGGACAATCCAGAGAAAAAGAGAGATGCTCCAAGATGCAAGCTAGTGGATCAAAGTAGCAATCTCTAGCCCAAACTGTCTAGTCCTACCAATATAAGTGAAATTTGTGTCTTAGCATGCTAGGGGCATTACACCAAACGCACAACCTAAACAAGTCATGAAAGAAGTAATCTGAAACCCACCAAGACCATGTTGGATCCAACTAATTACTGATGTCTCAAAGACAAGTGAGATTGCTGGTTGTGGTGCCGTTTTGTGGTGCGTGAGGATATTTCAAGGTATTTGCAAGTCTAATAACTGGCACCAAAAATGAGACTGAGCTGCAGTCGATATTAGTAGGCGTGGAGAGAGTATTTTCTTCTCAACTCCTATGGATCGAGGAATACTCCCTACTAGTCCTACAATGGTGCCTGGATTTGCAAACTATCGGATGGAAGTTCCAGAGTGTCTGTGATGTACTCTCACTATGCCAAACATCGTCAGACTTCCATTTCTCTCGCGCATCGGGAAGGCAACAAAGCAGCAGAGCTAATGGAAAAAATTGGGTGTGGTTTCCCCTCAGTAGTCAGTACAGATATGAACTCTCTCCCCAACTTCTTGAGAAAGCCCCTTTTTTATGACTTGCGCACAGTTCACTGTAAATTCACTTAACACCATGCACTCGTATTTGTTACAATGACCTGCCACACCACAAGGGGATTGTAGGCTCTGGGTATGTGTATTGTTTTCTTTTTTCTTTCTGTGTCCTCAGAGCCACATGGAAAGTCTGAGACCCTCTGGTCATTTACAATGCTGTACTTTTTTCTATAGTAATATTATAGGCGGGACCCAGCTAAATGGGATAATATCCCTGGGATATATAGCCAAAAAGAAATGTCCATAGTGAGACGTGAAACCTAGCTCCTAAATCATCCCACAATGCCACCACAATAGAAGAAACATACTGTTAGTACGAATAACATAAATGTTACTAAATATTATAGAGAGCAGGCTCTAAGTAGTGATGCTTAAGGTGGCAAATGCCTCTCACCAGGTCCGAAGTTAACATTGAAAAAACAAAAACCTACATAAATATCATATATATAGAAAAACTGTGGACATCATTTATAAAGGTCACCCGCTGATGAAATGAATTATCTAGGATGAGCTTTTACCCAAATCAAGCTTTCATTTGCCAATGCATGCTATAATGTTTTGGTGGGCACTTCCAACTCAAGTGTTTCTTAGTGCATCTGCCGCTCCTACTATCACTTTCTCTTTGACCTCATGGTTGTCAGAGTTAGTGTTTTTATGAGTCTGCAGATTTGATGATGGTGATCAGAGCACAACAAGTAGCCACAAGTGTCTTCTTTGAGGGCAACCGATTCCTCCTAATTTTTGCTCATATTTGGAAGATGAAAACCATAGGAGGGCTTCCAAGAAGAACAAGTGGAGAAAGAAATACTTTGAATGTTTTCTTTTAAGTTATTTCAGTTGTTTGTATTTATTTATTTTATTGTTGGACCAGTTAGGGACCTTTTAGATATAGTAATTGAAGTTAGGGAGCTTAGGTTCAAGTTATACTTAAATTAGAACCTTTTGGTCAAAAGTTAATTGTATGGGCAAATATTGTCCAAAACAATAAATTTCCAATATAAATAAGGGTGTGGATGGGCTGGAGAGGCATTCACGTATTCCTCTTTTAAGATCTTGGGAAAAGAACCCTAGGCTTGAGCCCTATGTGGGAGAAATCCTTAGGGTTTCTCCAAAATTGCAGAAACGTCTAGGTATCTATAAAAAATGTTTATATACGGGTGCAACCTTATGCTATAGAAGTAAGGTGCCCTTATAAAATCTAATAGAAAATATTGTTTCAGAAAATCTTCTAATTGATCATCTCGACCTCGAGATGTATGCATATAAAGAAAAAAAAGAATTTCAAGTTATAAAAATAGTGCATCTTGTAACAAGTTATCTGGATCGTCCATTTTCTTAATTTCAAATGTTTATAGGTCTGCTCGATCTACACTATTTTTGGAATTTTTAATTTTATAATTACGTTTGAACATAAATTTTCAAGCCATTATAAAGTTTCTACACTAGAATTATATCTTCCGATAAAATTTTGAGATGCGCCTCATGAGTACAATATAAGGTGGGCACCTTATATAAACCTCACCATATATATATATATATATATATGGAAAAAACTGGAATTAGCCCATTAGCTCATATGCACATATGAGCCCAATGGCCCAGATTGAATATGGGCCGATCTGACGATCACGGATGTCCGGTAGTGTTTGAATTTTAATTTTTTTTCTACAAATCCAAATCACTTGAAATTTTAGGAGTGTGTTCATAAAAAATAGTCGAATCTTCGAAAAATATCAAAAACATATTTTACATGAAATAAATTGACCAAAATACCCCCAAAAATTTTCAGAGGGTATTTTGGTATTTTTTATATTTTTATTAGGTGCGCCTTGATGAGAAGATCACATGCTTAAAATTTCAAGTGATTTGGATTTGTAGAAAAAAAAAAAAAATTGAAATATGAAATGAGGTCGTGATCGTCAGATTGACCCAGATTCAATCTGGGTCGTTGGGCTCATATAAGCTAGTGGGCTAATCCTAGCTTATATATATATATATATATATATATATATATATATATATATATATAT